ATATATATATGGTCTTTGCTTTTATTTTAAGCCACTACAATGACTTTCTAAAAAATATAGGCAGGTTATTTTTAAAATAACATGATCACCTTAAGTAATATAGAAAAAGCATTTGACAAAATTCAACACACATTCATGACTTTTAAAACTTTTAGAAATAAAGAGAAACTTCCCTAACTTGACAAAGGACATTTAAAACAAATTTACTCTTCCACATAGTTCAAAAAGTTTCAGCCCTGTTTGATAACAGATTGAATACAAGAAACAAAACCATCCTTATCTGAGCTAGGTGTGATAATATGTCTATATTCTTAGCTATGCAGGGGACTGAGGCAAGTTTGAGGCCAGCCTGGGTAACATTGAGACCCTGTCTCAAAAAATAAATAAAACAATAAATAAACAAATAAAAACAATTCATGACTGAAGATAGGGATATTTAGAAAATCCCATTGAACACGCACACACACACACACACTAGGTAAGTTTATCAACAGAATGCAATATAAACATATATTAATCATACTTTTATATCCTAGCAATGAAACTAACATACCTTATACCCATCAAAGTATTGGTATCTCCAATATAATAACTTTCCAAATTCATTAGTTAAAATAATACAATTAGAAAATGGTCAGAAGACTTGAATTAACATTTCACCAGATGAATCCACAGATGACAAGCATATGAAAGGATGTTTAACATCATTAACTGTCAAGGACATGTAAAATAAAACCACAGTGATATACCATTACACTCCTATGAAAACAACTATAATAAAATCAATGATGATACCAAATGCTCCAAGGATATAGGAGAAATTGTTTGCGCATACATTTACTAGTGAGAATGTAAAATGATACAAGCACTAGAACTACAGAAAAAGCTTTTCTTTAAAAGCTGAGCCCACAATTGCCACATTACCCAGTAATTGTTCTTCCAAGCTTTGATCTGGGTGAAACTGAGATTTATGTTCACACAAAATGTTAACATGAATGTGTATAGAAGTCTAATGGTAATATCCTCCAACTGGAAATCCAAGGGTTTGCTTCTACCCAGCATAATTGACTAAAACAGCTGTAATGGTTACAGATCCTGTGACATCAGTCAGCTACGGGAAGGAAGAAGCTACTCTAGTACATGAAACAACACTGACAGATTTTCAAGGAATTATGCTTAGTAAAAATAAGAGTGTTCCACAAGGTTAGATACTGTATGATTACGTTTACATGTATTATAGAAACAACAAAGTTGTACAAAGGGAGAACATTCTAGGATCTAAGGAGGGAGTGGAAGAGAATAAGTGTGGCCATATAGTATAACATGAGGGATCTTATGATGGAGAAAATGCCCTGTGTTTTGACTATATTACCATCAGTATCTTAATTATGATATTGTACTATACTTTTGCAAGATGTTAGCATTGGAGAAAATGGGTAAAACATATGCAATTACCACTATGTATTACTTCTTACAACTCTCTGAATCTGCAGTTAGCTCAAAGTTTAAAGTTTAAGTTTTGTCTAATAATTGATAAAAGGAATGAGGGAGAGGAGGGTTACAATGGCAGGTGATGGAGGTAACAGAAATAAAATATAAATATAAATAAAACCAAAAATATGAAATGTAGGATGGGGAAAGGAGGTGATGGAAAGTAAAAAAGGTCAGAGTAAGATAGGTGAGTGTAAGAATCTGCCAAAGTAAAACTCATTAATAAACATTAAACATTTTTTTAAAAAAACCTAAAAAAAAATTAAGACGTTTCAGTTTTAAAAAGAAGCATCAGGCCATCTACAGATGGCCTAAAAAAAAAGTAAAAACAAACAAACAATAAAAAAAAATACTTTTAAATGGGACAAAAAGTTACCACTAAGAAAAATCACGAAAAAAGACATAAAAGTTTGATTTTGAATTCTAGAAAAAATGCTTTCATAAGACACAAAAACAAGGGTCAAAAACTTTTGGGGCTTCTTGAGAAGTGTTTGCACATAACAGAGGTGCTTCTGAGGCAGATGGCTCTTTTTTAAGCTGTGGAGTTCTAATTAGCTGTGACCACACTAAGAAACACTGGGAAGATCCATGAAATGGCAAGAGGCAGCTCAGGAGGGAAATATAAAAAACTAATATGCAGAGAAGGCTCTCATTATCACTTAACAATAAATACACTTCACCGTTTCTTGGAAAGCTGTTTTGTTTTATCACTCACTTACATAATGTAGAAAAGAAACTAAAGTATAGTGTAGATGAATAATTTCAATAGTCTTTGAAAGGAAACTTACAAATACATTTGTGCATGCCCTAGATTATAGGAGTCATCCGTATCTAGGACATACCACTCTTATTAGGGTCCTAGGTGAATTATCAGAAATGAAAATAGAATTCCAGAAGGAAATTTTAAAAACTATATGAGACCTAGACCCTTTCCTTTTAAGTAGGAGAAATACCATGACCTCTACTCAACTTCCTTGCCCCATCTTCTGGATTTTGATATATTTCATTAAGAGCTTTTCTCATTGTACATGCAAAACTGGAATTTTATGAAGGTGTTAGAAAAGCTTGCATTCACACTTTCATGGTTGTCATTCCTATTGGCAGGCAAGCCTGCCTTAAAGGAGCTGGAACACCAAAGATGTAACAAAACGGGCAAATTCTATGAACCTTTGAGTCATTTCAGAAAGTACAGTGCTTTCTACTCCATTCTGCTCTGCATAACCCATCCCAAGCATCTTCCTGAAATGTCTTTCCTCTCTATGTTCCCAAGTGCTTTCCTTACCGGCTCTATCACTAACTCACTGTTCCCATGGAACTCAGATGGAGATAGAAGGCACAGGTTTAGTTGCACTGTTTTCCCCTCTCTAGAATGAAATACAGCTAGAGGGTGAATACTTTAAGGATTTAATCTTTTCATGGAATAAAATGAGATTTGGGGGGGAACTTACTATTTTACATAAGCACACAACATATAGGGCACAGTCATGTGGTTTGGTGTACCAGAATACCTTATTTATGTGGTTTAGAACTTTTTACTAACTACTGAGCAGATACTTGAGGGGTGTTTCATGAACCTGGTGGGATTGGATTTGTAGCAGTCTCGTGATAGCCCGCTCAGGAGGCTGCCCTTGAGTCTTTTTCCAGGTAGATGGTATAAAGCTTTGTACATTAATTCTCTGACTCCTTTGTGAATTTTAAATTCATGTGGAATGTGATTAGAATTTGGAAGTAAGTTGATAATATTCTAATGCATAAAATACAAGAAAATCTCTAAATTCCCCCAAAGACCTCTGTAAGAGTTGCTAATACTATCAAAAGATTTTGTTAAAGTTCAGTGCGACCTTCCTTATTACAGGGCTTGGATTTTACCACAAAGAGTAAAAGGTTATACTTACCTGCATTCAGATTTGGAAATCTGAGGCAATGTCACCAGCTTGGGAGATTCCCATATGCAAACAAACCTGCAGATACATCTTATATGACTCTAAGAAAGCATCCTGAGGGTATCCTAAAGGTGCAGCTTCTAAATGGATCATCTGGGTGGGCTTCTGTCTTAGGCACCCTCTTGTCATGGCTGATGATTAAACATTTTAAGGCTCATTGAGGCTGTAGCGGGAACCCAGCAGAGGGGAGGAGTAAACAGAACAACACCTAGATGACAGCAATGGGTTAGTAGGGCAGAGATCTCCATTGATGAGCCACTTTGCCACTAACAATCTGCATGACTCTTGTCAAATCTCAGGCTAAACTTCCTCATCTCAAAAAGGAAAATAAGCTAGACAATGCTAAAACATACATTTAAAATTTTCTGTCATTTGTGAAGCTCTTATTATATACCAGGCACATTGCTAAGTGGTTTTCAAACCTTACTCCATTCATACCTCATCCTAGCAATATGACGACTACCTCATTTTTCCGGAAGGGAAAACGAAGCGAGCTTTGGAAACTCACAGAACAATGAACAGTGGAGATGGAATTCAAATCCAGATTGTGTGTCAACAAAAATCCTGCTCTCACCCACTGAACTATTACTAGGGCCTAGCAAAAGTGGAAAGAGGTCCATTGTCTCAAACCTTTTGGCTTTCACAAAGACTCCCACAGGTTTTCCTTCCATGCTTTCCCTGAAATTATGATGAGAAAGGAGAAGGAAAGTTTTGTTTTTCATACTGTGGTTGCTATAGCAAGAGAAAGAAGATATCTTGGGACATAAATTTTCCCCAACTCTAGATACACAGGAAATTGGACCTGAGCGCTCTTGCTTTCTGCCAAGCAGCAGTTGCATATTTGAGGAAAAGTCCTGGGTACAAATTTCCCTGCACTTCTGAATTCAAAATTAGCTATTCCCTTCCATCTTCAAAGTCTCACTTTGTAAACAGCTCCTTCTGTACAAAAGCAGCTCTCTGTGGATTGTTATGACATTGAAGAAACTATAATTTTTGTCCTTGTTTAATGCCTACCTGTTTGTGATTCTTGTTGCTTTGCACCAGCTTTGGCATCCAGCATGATGGCAAAGAAAATGACTGTGAGCCCATGGGCAGGCATCCCTACATCATGTCCCATCAGCTCCAGTATGATCCTACCCCACTAACCTGGTCCAAGTGCAGTAAGGAGTACATCACCCGCTTCTTGGAGTAAGTGACAGTACAGTGTGGCTCTTGGCTCCTTCTCTTGGGTCTCTTTACATAGCAGTTTGTGTTGGTTTTATGCAAAGGAGCTGATGCTTAGAGATGCATCCCTCAGACTACAGTATCTGGGTGGCATCAAAGGGGTGGGTTCCATGTCTGCTTTCTAACCCTGAGGTTTGGGTGGACTCTGCCCTCCAGCCACAGCCTAGTGAACATTCTGATTGCTCCTGCCCCAAGGTGACTTCTTAAAATCTAATTGTAAATTAAATTCCTGGAGACTTCCAGGAACAAACAGGACAAGTCAGAAGCATTCAACCAAACCCTGCTGAGGGTAAGATAGTGATTGCTTAATCTTCCTACTGTTTATATTTCCTAGATAATAATTATTAACATATAGTGTGAGATGAGATTTGCATTTTCTATTATCAGCTTCCCCCTTGAGCCCAGAAGGTTCTCTGGTTGTAAAAGTAAAATTGTTTTGAAGGACAAAGGCAAACGAGAAGGATGAATGAAATGCAGGAGGAATTCATAAGTTACTCTTCTTGTTTCCATTAACTTTTTGCAGCCGTGGCTGGGGGTTCTGTCTTGATGATGTCCCCAAAAAGAAAGGTCTGAAGTCCAAAGTCATTGCCCCTGGAGTAATTTATGATGTACACCACCAGTGCCAACTCCAGTATGGCCCCAATGCTACCTTCTGCCAGGAAGTAGAAGTAAGTTGTGGGTATCTTGGTAACTCTGATTGTATAAGCAACCTTTGAGATCTCCAGCATATGAAAGGAAGAGCTATAAAATATTAGGAAATGTGAAGATTCAGACCCAGAAATGGAAGCTTCATATATATAACAATGCGTAAGTGTACTTACAGTTATATGAGTTCATAAACTTCATTCTTTCCACAATTCTGGTCACAGAGTTGCACAAGAATCAGATGAAATTCAATGGTTAGGTTCAACATTGACTTAATAGATCCATTAGGTCAACATTAAGCCTAACTCTTTAATATATATTAATATATATTATATATCTATATATCTACAAATGTATCCTATATCATATATATGTATATGTGTGTGTGTGTGTGTGTGTATACAACTTTCTACCTTACCTAGGCATTAAGCATCATGTCCCATATTCAAGTGATCATTAAATCTAAACTCTAGATTATTAATAGTGCTTCTCTACATTTGCAGAGGCAAAATTTAGATTGATAAACAAGCACTTCACCACATTTTTAGCTTCTGAGGAGTACCCTTAATTTCTTACCCATTCAAGAGTGCATTTTATTCATGGCTTTAGAAGTTATATAGAGGCTATTTCAGGATGTCCTGTTACTTCTTGGAACCAGATCAATGTAGGTATCTCTGTTCAGTTCCTCTTTCTTTTTTTTTCTTTTTTGGTACTGGGGATAAAACTCAGGACATTGTTCTTGTGAGCCAGAAGTGGAACCACTGAGCTAAATCCCTGACCATTTTCCTCTTTTAACACTCCATGTACCTGTACTGAACAGCTTCCATTCAATGAGAATGCTGGTTTCTCCACTACCTCCAGAACTTCTCATGCTCTGGTTTCTATGTATTATCCTTCCTATTTGTCATTTGAGTCTCAGTTTAAATATCATTTCATATCCTAGTTAGTAGTTTTATAATATGTGTTAGACTAATAT